ATATAACAAATTAAAAACAAAGATTACAAATCTGGTCACTATGTTCAAGTTGTGTAGTGCATTCAACACGGGGATTGCACAAAAGGAGAAGTCAAGTGAAGTGACCATCAAAGGCTGGGATGTCCTGAGTAACAAGCCATGTTAGGCACTTGAAACCATCCCTTAATGGGATTTGGGGTTGTGGATCGGGGTGTGAGCTTTGTATAAATACAAAGCTGTGAAGGTGATTATGCTTTTTGATGTACATGTGGACATGATGCAAATATCCTACTTGGTAAACCTTGCAAATCATGACTGTCATTTAGCATGGGTATTGTATGCCATCTTATGTTTAATGCTACACGAATTTCCCTACTAAAAGAACAGAGAGAACATACTAGTACTAGTAGTTGTCTGATTTTTTACGACGAGAAGCCTGAGGTTTTCTCAGCGGTAACAGTTTCGGTCCAATGTATGTGTGCACATGCAATAATGAAGATGTTGCATGTCCTTGCAAAAAGACCTCTTTTGAAGATCTAACTGCACCTGAGCTGCCAGCATTGCTGACAAACCACTTTCAGTCAACAGCGAGGAAAATACCAGTACCCTTCTATACAAATCAGCGCTGTCAGAAATGGAGCACAGATCACACAAAAGCCTAGTACAGAAGTCTCATTTCTAGATAAACCTCGTCAAAGATGCCCTCGCTTCCATGGAAGTCTGAGTGTGCAGCAGCGCGGATCGCGTTGCAGGGTCATGGCCTGCCTGCCTTGTCTTCTTGCCTGATTTTTAAGCGCTTTTTAGGTAATTTTGTTTCCATTGCAAGAATAGTTTCTCTTCTATATCTGAGAGGAAGAATACGCTCATAAACATTAGCAAATGTAATGCAATGTTATTAGTCTACTCCAGGAAAGTAAAAATATTCTTAATAATCATATTATCCTTATGTGCTGATTTTTCTCTCTGCGTGTTATACTGATGAGTTCTATATAAATAAAGTTTAGTAGAGAAATTCTGATAACTGAACCATTTTCATAATAATTGTGAATCTTCATAACTGAACATACCAGATATTTGAAACTAAACTTAATTTCCTTTCTTCCCAATAGCAAAATCTTATTTATCTAGGATCATCTAGTTCATCTATTAAAGCTTATGAGTAGGTGGCTTACAATGAAAAATGATGGTTAATATTGTAAGAACGTTCAACTCAGTGAATGCATTTTGACAGGCTTTGATGGCTGGAAATCAGTCTTTGTATTCAGAATGGATTACCAGATTTATTTAGTTGCCACAGCATGTTTTTGAGTTTATGCTTTGTAAGTAAATATTTTGCTTGCTTATACCAAAAGCAGTTGCGGCTAAGTACTTGCAGGAGTATTTTCAAAAGTGCTCAGCAGCTTTTAAAGCTCCCGCTAAAGCTACGATTCGATTCCCACTGGAAAACAAAGGCCAGTGTGAGCACATACGAAAAAACTTCTATCCTTAATTCTTTGCAGGGAAACAGAAAACCTATAGTTCAGCATCAGACATTAACATAAGCACAACCACCTGGAGGTTTAGTCATGGATAAAACAATGGAATTTATCTTTGTATCCTTTAAACAATGGAATTTATCTTTGTATCCTTTGTTCTTTATTTGTGCTGGAATAATGAAGGAGTAGTGAAGCAAGCTGGCATTAGGATTCAGTTTGCGTGGGTTATTCCTGCTTCCATGTTCCACTTTTAACTGATGCCCCTGCAGTTTACTGTGAGATGTGGTATGGTGGGTTGGTCTGATTAGGCAACTCATCTATTCCTGATACTGCACTCAAATTTCTCCCGTAAACGTTCTGAAGGTGCAGAAAAGTGGCATCACAGGGCACAATACAGGCAGACCAGGAGAACTGTTGAATATTTCATGTGCAGACTCTCCATGGGGAACCCAGATGTGCATTTGTAGGTGGTGGGGTGACAGACCAACTAAGTCTGTCCCCACAAGAGCTGTCGGAGCGTGGCTGGTGCTATGACCCAGATGGGAGGACCTGTCCCCTCCTTTTAGTATGCTCGTAGGGATTTGCAGGGCCTGTTGAGTTGCTTGGAAATGAATTGTTCACCATGGCAATAATTGGCAGTTCAGTATGGCATATCGGATTAATTTTATTGTTGATGACAGTAAAATTATCCAAAAGGGAGGAATCCTGTAATGGCTTCATTTTAAGGGTCAGTATTTGCAGGGTTCCTGTTTTGTAGTAGCACTACTCCCTACTGACAAACACAGTTAAATCACCTGCTAAGTTTTCTCTCTGTTTTAACTTACTACTTTCATTTTTTGGTGCATTCAGAAGCCATCTGACTGACTCTGTTTCTGTTAAATACTGCGAATTTCTCTTTTTGTTCTTCAATGCTGAGTGTAGAGTGTGTGTAAAAACAAACAAACAAAACCAACACACACACACACACACACACACCAACACCAACAAAAAAAACCCACACCACCCCAAACCCTTACTATGATAATTCCTTTTGAGCACGTTGATGAAAGTTTTGGTGGTGATTGTTTTCAAGTTATCAGTTTTCCTATGGGAGTTTTCATAGTTCATGAGCCACAGGACTAGAACCTGCAATTGATGAAAGTTTTGGTGGAGATTGTTTTCAAGTTATCAGTTTTCCTGTGGGAGTTTTCACAGTTCATGAGCCACAGGACTAGAACCTGCACGTAGCGATTTCTTGGGGGTTTTTTGTTTGTTTGTTTTTATAACTTCTAGTTAAAGTGATTTTTTTGAAATTTGGACATGTAACACTGTTTTCTCATCAGTTCCACTGTTGCGATGTACTCTTATGTCCAGTGATTAACAGGCAAATAGTAAAGTAGATGTTAGTTTATCTGTTCTATACTGAAAAAGTTGAGAGGGATTTCTCTGCTGGTTTTATATGTATTTTTAAAGTAACTTATTTTGATAGGAGCCTTCAAAAAACCTTGGAGCTGCTATTAAAGTTTTGAAGATGTGATGCTGTTTCAGCAGTTTTTCATATTAAATTTCTTCCTTTATATGAATATCTAGTTTTTGCCCCAGAGCCTGAATTATATCTGTAACAACTGAGAGTTACTTTAGTGTTTTCCTGCACATATTTGATGCTGATCAGAGGTATCAGGGCAAACAGCCACACTGATGGGAGGGTTACTGAGATCTGGTTTGCCCTTATCCTTTCTTCAGCAGGTACCTGAGCAACAACTGTTTTTTCTTCTGTTTCCTTAAATCTGCTCTGTTGCTTCTGTTTCCAGATTTAGTCATTTTACACATTTTTATTTCCTCTTCTGAGATGCAATGGGAGGTTGCTTTGTCTTTAATCTTCATTTTTCTTTAGGAATCCTACTTCAGCTTCTGAGAGGGGAAAAAAATGTTTCCAGTTCTAACAAACTGAATGCACCTTAGCAATTTTGACCCCAAATTGTGCCTGTGGGGGCGTGTGCTGGGAATTGTAAGATGGGCGCTATGATGTGCTGTCAGCACAGTGACAGGAGCCAGTGATGTCTGAGGATACGGATGCACCGTCCCATGTCGCATGGACTGAAGAGTCGTGATGAAGGTTATAAAGACAGTCATAGAATCATTTGGGCTGGGAAAGACCTTTAAGTTGATGGGGTGCAGTCGTGCTGTGTGTGCCTAAAGGGACCAGCTCTGGGTGGGAATTGGGAATAGTCAGTATGAGCGTGAGCTAGAGAAGCTAACCTGTGCCTGGTGTACATCAGTGTAACCCTGAGGTCTGGCAATGAAACCAACCCAAGGACCTCTTGGCTTTATGGGAAGTGCCGGCAGTAGGCATGGCTTGAGGAAATAAATGCTGGTGGTGGAGGAGCTGCCTGAAGTCTTAGAAGTTTCCTGCGTGTGCAGGGTTGTCTAGAATCATAGAATAGTTTGGGCTGGAAGGGACCTTTAAAGGCCATCTAGTTCAACCTCCCTGCCATGGGCAGGGACATCTTCAACTAGATCAGGTTGCTCAGAGCCCCGTCCAAGCTGACCTTGGATGTTTCCAGGGATGGGGCATCTACCACCTCTCTGGGCAACCTGCGCCAGTGTTTCACCACCCTCAGCGTAAAAAATTTCTTCCTTATGTCTAGTCTGAATCTACCCTCTTTTAGTTTAAAACCATTCCCCCTTGTCCTGTCGCAACAGGCCCCGCTAAAAAGTCTGTCCCCATCTTTCTTATAAGCCCCCTTTCAGTACTGAAAGGCTGCAATAAGGTTTCCCTGAAGCCTTCTCTTCTCCAACTCTCTCAGCCTTTCCTCACAGGAGAGGCGTTCCACCCCCGATCATTTTGGAGGCCTCCTCCGGACCCGCTCCCACAGGTCCATGTCTGTCTGGTGCTGAGGGCTCCAGAGCTGGATGCAGCACTCGCCGCAGCAGAAAAGAGCTGTCCTCGGGGACTTGGTCACCTCCTCGGCCCATATATGCGTGTCCCGTCCCCTGGGGGGTGCGGAGGAGCCTGTGGCAGGTGTGACCGGCTCCTGTCAGCGCCGCGCTGCTGCGGGGCTGAGGGAAGGCCCCGCCGCCACCTCGTGGCCTGTTCCGCTGCTGCTTGGGAAATGGTGGTAATGCGCTGTGTAAACTCCGTGGGCGACTTTTCTTTTTAAAAGGATGAAATACCGAGAGTATATTAAAACGCTCAGAGCGGGTTCTGGGTTATACTAAATGCAATTAAAAAGACGTCCGGGGTGGGAGCTTGCAGTCCCTTGCTGATAGCCCTTCACAGCGGAAGGGTGTGGGGTGGCCCTTAGGAGGAACACTGCTATTCTTGGTTTAAAATGCCTAATTCACCCATTTAATCAAAATATTTTAGAAAGTATCTTAATTTATTCAAAACTATAAAAGCACTTGAATTCCTGTCTTTAAATGATTCATGATAATTGGAGTTTATTATGCAACTTTGACATGTGAATATTTCAGCTGCATGCTCGTATGATTCACTTTCCCCATCCATCTCCCTTCTACCCCCTTGATAAAATAAATATTTTTGTTAATCTCTACTTTGTTTTCAAGGTCACTTCCTGGGACGACAGCAGCTGAATGTGCGTCAAACTTGAAGAAGATTTATACAGTACAAACAGTACAGGTAAGGTGTATAGCTTTGCTATAGGAATTGCCAGATGTTATTAATGTAACTTCACACCTTAAGTTTCATTTTTCCTCATACGGATGAGTCACAGTTGTGGCTTTGCTTACCTGTGGTATGAAATGTGAGTGTTGCCGGTTGTGTGTGGTATTACTTTGTCATTATTTGAATTTCATTTGGCTTTCCAGACCAGGAAAGGAGGAAGCATATTGGATTGATCAGGCAAGCCCCCTCTTAAACTTTCCTGAATTTCGACTTGTGCCTCCGTTGGATTGTTATACTTGATGTATTTTAAATATTTTTCCTGCCTTTTCTCCATTTTTTTTAAATACAGAAAATCATTACACAGAGACTGAAAGTTCCAGCTTGTGGATTTTTTTTTTCTTCTTTCTCTCCTTGAGCATGAATTTAAAAAAAAAACTCTAGCAAACTGACTTGAATTAAAGTACTTTTAAATCATGCAATACTTGCAGCAATGAGAAATTCTGCATGTCTCTGTATTGTCTGCCAGTGCCAAGCAGTGAGCGTCTCTTGCAAGTAAAATTGCATTTCTGTTTTAATACCACAGTTAGCATGAAGTGTAGTGAATTTGTCTCACCTTATTACTAAGCTGACTCTAGTTCACTAAATCTCTGAAATTCTAAGGTGATGCAAAACCTTCTCTTTGAAGGAGCCCAGCCGTAGTGATCTACAGAAGTTTTAAGTAAGGCTTTCTCATTAACGTCTGCACAACTTGTTACATTGCATGAGATGTTTCTTCCCAGCTAATTGGCCTAAGAAAACAAATTGGCTTTGGGGTTCTCTGGAGACGAGGTTATCAGTGGAAGTACTTTGGCATAAAGGATGGAAGTGTCCTGCAGACCCCTGGGAGAGGTTCCCTCTCAGCTCTCTGTGTCAGCAGAATGTCCCCGTTGGTCACACAAAGAAGTGACACTCTGAAGTTAAAGTTGACAACAGAAGTGGGTTTGTTTCAAAACTGGCTGCAATGGTTTCTGTTGAAAAAAGGACAGCTTGAGACCATGGTCTGGTGTACACAGTATCCGGTGTTACACGTTTTCCCACTCTGAATCTAGCCTTCATTATTTAAATGATTTGGTTTTATTGGCTAAAAAACTTGAGGTTTTCTTCTCATTGGGTTGGGGTTTAAAATACAAAAAAACCTCCTTCAGGTCCTCTGGGAAGACTCATAATCTGGATGAGGTTATCAGAAGCTAGGAGCGTGGCCCATAATGTGTCTTACTGTGCTATCATACACATAATATGATCTTCCTTGTGGAAGCAAACCAAAATCTTCATGAACTTCATCACTGTCCTTCATGGGCAGTAGCTAGTCAATGAGGAATGCCAGTTTGCACTGCCTGAAGGATGCTTGAAAACCAAACTAAGTTCCTGGTTCAGGACACAAGAGCTCTCAAATATTTCCACAGCTGTCTGCCGGCGTAGCTCTGTTCCTTCCACTTCTGTCAGTAGCTTTAGGGTTTGGGCACACAACCAGGTAAGAGTAAGATGAAAGCTGAAATGGGTGTTTCATACCAATTTTTTATATTTTTAATAGTCTTCCATCTCTTCTTGTGACTGGGTAATGGTAATGGCTGATAGGTAGAATTGCCTAGGGCCACAAAATTTTATCGCGTAATGTTGCAATCTTTGTTTCTAAAGTTGTGCTAATGATTAAGTGTTAGATAATACTTAATGGATTGTACTAATGCTTAATATTGCATCACTGCATGTTGATGCAACAGAAGTCTTCGAAAATCCTTTCTTATTGCCAACTGTTGGATAAAGAAGAAAGCGGATTGGGATCTTTTCAATGATCCCTCCCTCACCTCAGTTGCTCACCACTGCTTTTGGGTGCCTTTTATCCACCCCAAACAAGCATGACAGCTTCTGCTTTTACCAGCAGAAGCAGTGGGAAGTAATCTGATGGTTCATGGTAACTTGGATCTTTTAATTTCTCCCCCATTCCTGTATTAATATGTGCATCTCGGGTTCTTTGCATCTGGTTGAAACTTTTCACTGTGATCTAGACAAAGTAGTTGGATTGCTAGTTAGGCATTTAGTTCAACAGAATTTTGTAACTCAAGATAATCATGATAAAGTTTTAGGCTAGTCTTAAGTGAAAGAAGGTGGATATTTGATATAAGTACATATTTTTAATATGCTAAGAAAGTTTTGTTCTGATACCCTTAGTGTAACTCTGATTTTGATGATTTTTCTTCTCTCTATTCCTAAGGACTTTGATTCTAAAGTAATCCACAGTCCAACTGCTTCCCTTTCTACCTCCACTTCATGCAGATTTGGCATCTAAAAAAAAAAAAAGTAAATGTGAAAATGCAACAAGTTCTTTTCAGAGCATTTTACTATAACATAGAAGGTGCCAGTTCTCTAGGAGCAGGATATGTAGTTGTTTTAGAGAAAATGAACAAGAAAGTAAATCTACATGAAACTTACTCTTTTGTGTTAATGCAACTAGTATTTTTTCTTTTTAAGGATTTCTGGAGTGTCTACAACAACATTCCTCCTGTGACAAATTTGCCTCTGAGATGTAGTTATCATCTAATGCGGGGAGAAAGACGGCCGCTTTGGTATGTATGTTATCATTAGACATTTCTGGGAATGGGCAGTGAAAAAACCTGAAGTGGTGAAAGGAGGCAGGTGTGGGATGGGAGTGACTCGTTTCTGGTGCCTGCAAACGCCTGAACTTAGGACCTACGAAAGAAATATCCTAAGGATCTTGTTAAGCTTAGAAATGACTTGTACTAAGGACTCTTTATTAAAAACATAGATTATAATTTAATTGTCCACCTCTGAACATAAATGTAAGAAAGAAATAAAATTATGAAATAGAAATTAAGAAATTAAAATACGCTTCTGAATTTCAATTCAAGAATACACACAATATGTTACTTCTATTTGAATTATTTTTAACTTGCAAATTTTTTTCTTTCCACTGAAGCTAGTGTAATAGTGATGCAAACAACTGATGGTCCTTAACTGTTCTTCACCTGTGCAAAAGCACATATACCTTGGATTAAAACTAACTTAAGGCATTATGAAGTGATTCGTTGCAGCAAATTCCTACTTGATTGTAGGATAGTAATGGAATAAAGTATAAATTACTGAGGTTTCCCTTTCAGAAACTGGGTTTTGCATACCTTCTTCTTGGTGCAGTTCCGTCACATCTTAATTAGCACTTTCTGAAGAGTTTTGTTTTTTTTGGCATCGTTTGCATAGATTGTGATTGGGTTAGGGTTCTTTAACTTGATCGTAGTATGTCTGGCTGGGTGGTGACTTACTACAGGGGGTTTCTGTCCTAATCTACTGAAGAAGTAAATAATTTTCTCAAGTGAAATGCATCTGAAGGTCTACATTATTGTTCTAAAAATACTGTGACTGGTCAGGATAGGTAAACTGCATTTGAAAGAAATATTGGTGTCTCTGTAAATCAACTGGGCGATTGTGTGCAGGTCTTGATATGTTTATAAGGATGAGAGAGAGTATTTTGGGTTTTGTTTTTTTCTATTTTTAGGTTTGATGTGGTAAGTGACTATTTAAGGTGTGAAATACAAAGATCTTTTCTGAAAATACTACATTGGGTTTAAGACTGTTAAAGTAGGTGCTGTATTTTAGGAAAGGGATTGCAATAGCTTGATCTCATCAGTAACCCGCTAACTTTTCAATAATTAACGCCAAGAAGCTTTTTCTCAGATTACAGTTACAGTATACTGGCTAATTGCAGCATTGATTTTTAGGAAGAAAAACAAATTCTGAAGTAAGAATTGAGGACTGGAGGTTTTTGAAGATGTCCTTCCAAAGTTTTCCCCTTCCTTTCCCCAGTGTTTGTCTGGATTGGTGGGAGACCATTGACCCTGGGGAATCTCTATAGGTCTCATACTGGGCTTAGATATTCCAAAGATGAATTTTAGGTTATTCCTTAAACTTTGCTATTACAGAGTTTTAACAGGAAACTAGAACCCTAATTTAAAATCTTATAAAAATTATTGTGACAGAATAAACTTGAAGCTTACAGCTTTGTACTTTGTCATTGTGAGGCAGTTTAATGGTTATGTCTGCCCTGACCCTGGGCAGCTTCAGTCTTTCTTTTAATAAGGGCAATTAATTTCTAGCTGTCACAAAACTGAAATGAGGTGCTCTCATGTTCTTTTGTTAAACTGGATAAACTTGAGAGTAATAAGCTGCTTCTGTGAAAATATGCCAGAGTTTTTCCAAAATAAAAGGTTACCATAGTAAAATATAGAATTGCTTCGTGGCTTGTTCCCATATAGTATGCAGCCACTTTAAAGATGGGCTGTAGTCAGGGAAAATGTAAGTATTTTCCAACACACAAAACTTAGGAAAGGGATTAGGTGTTGAGAGGTACACTTCATATGAACAATGAAAGAATTATCTCTGATGTCAGAAGTCATAGCTTGAGTCATGCTACCTGGAGTTAGTAGTTGTCTTTCAAATGGGACTTTTCTGGGAAAATTAAACCCCAAACGTAGGTTTATCTAGATGTGGATTTGAATGTTTATTTTAACTGATTTCCCATAACCAGGGAAGAAGAAAGCAATGCCAAAGGAGGTATATGGAAAATGAAGGTCCCTAAAGAAAGTACGGTATGTTATATTGACTTTTTACTTAGACATTGTTCAGTAAGGGGGTTTCTTTAAACTCCATCTAATAAAGCTGTTATAAAGCTTTTTAGTTCTGACATCAAAACACAACCACTAAACACTATTTTAACATCTATAACCTTTTATTTTAAGATAATGAGCAAAAGTTTCTTTTCAGGTAATTCCATCTCTCTTGCATTTGATAACACTTGTGGATATATTATCAAGCAAATGAAGGCTGCAGTGTTATACTCCATTTCCAGTTGGATACAAAGTATTTTATAGTCACCTTTGTTCTCAAGACTGCTTGCTTACAGGCATGCAAAGAAAAATACAAAAATCTTTTCCTGATAATATTATGCTAAATTGTAGCCAGAACCTCAGTAATGCTCTTCAAAAGTCCACACACAGAGTCCAGCACAACTTTCAGAGTTTCACTGAAATGCTCCTAAACTTTCTGTCAAACTCCGTAGGACTATTTCTGCTTGGCACTGCTTGTTTGCACCTACATGTGGCTGTCAGTAGTGCTGTGACTTTCTGTAGCCAAACGCGGACGAAGGCGTTGTTTTCACTAATAGCTAATCTCATCTCATGGCTTGCTCCCACTAGAAAGGGGAAGATCTTGCTCATTCTCTCCTGATCCCTCTTGCACTGGCTCTGGTTCTCATCAGACTGTTTTGTGAGCCAGCTTAATGCACTCTCATGTCAGAAAAAATCTCCTATTTATTTTATTTTTAATTTCAGTGTATGACCAGGAGACTTTTTTGATGGGTATAGGGGGTAAAGGAGAAGAGTGGGACCATCCCCTTTGGCAACAGTGAGTTCTCAGATCACCCTGTATGCATCTTCTGAAACTGTAGTGCTGCAATTTTTTTCCTCTCTTTTTTTTTTTTTAATTTAAAAATGTGAAAGATAAAATCCATTCAGGCATGCCGTTGTTCTAGCCCTGCTGGAACAACTGGATTTCTCTTTGCGCCCCTATCAAATGCATGTGAGTAACTTCCTGAGAACTGTCACAGCGAGGAGATTTGACCTCTTCACACATGGTGTTTATGTGTGTAAGTGTGTTCTGGATCAGGCCTTTAAACACGAGAAGTGGAGTGTCAGAAAAATGTAACAGCCTTGCAGAAGGCATTAAATGTTGAAAGATGGTACTTGAAATTTCAGCCAAAAGTTAATTGATTTTTGCCTGTGGGCTTTTTTCCCCATATGTGAATTGCAGTTTTCCTCCCCTGCAGTCCCAAGGGATCACAAAAGACTGAAATTTTCTTTTTCCTCTTATAATCCAAGGTGTGAAGATTGTCAGAAGTGACAAGTGGTTTGGGGACCCTGCATTACTGGGTGGTGAATTTAGGGACCTCAGAGGCCCTGTTTTTCAGAGGCTGAATGACAGGCCCTTTTTGAAATGAAGGTACTTTTTGATCTCTCAAACTATTACCACACGTTCCAAGTCACTTCAAAAGGTTTAATTGAAGGTGAACTTCAGTCACTTTTAGTGCCTCTGTAAATAGCATAAATAATACCTCTATGCCTGTTTCTCATTTTTTGGCTTCATTCTTTGTCACATGTGCACACAGCATCTCCTTGGCTAAGATGAACCATCTTGTACTGACCTAACTCAAAAAGATGGTATGCTATAGCAGCTCTTGGTGAGTGTGTGGAGGGAGGAAAATGTAGGGTTTTTTAAGGGTACCAGTCTTTCAAGTGGTATGAAAAACTGACTGACAAAATACTGACCCTTAAATGTTGTTACATGTATACAGTGACACTTCTGTATGCCAATTTTTAATATGAAAACGAATACTTTTTAGATCCTCATAAGCCTGATCCTGCAACTGCTTACTACTGGATGAAGTGCTTCCTACCCTTGAGACCATTAGGACAACTCACAGTAGTGAGCACTGCGCCTGCTAATGAGAGTGTGCGTGGTAGTCCCATCATCGATACGTGAGCTGTTCCACTGGCAGGCATGTCAGAGGCTGTCACGCTGATGTCATCAACGTGCTTTGGGAGCCATCGCATCAGAGGTCCTTCCCACAGCTTTATATGATGCATTGGATTAGATGATAATGAGTCGCAGAAATCCTTTGTATCCTAGAAGGTGGCTTAGGAGTACTCAGAAATGCCATTAAAGCAGTTTACTAGTTTGTCATCTTTGTGACTGCTTGCTTTTTGTTTTAACCTGGTGCATTTGATACGTTGGATTTTTTAATAGTACTAAAACTCAAGCTAACTTCATATAGCAGAAAAGACAGTCCTTAAAAGTAGTATATGATAAAGTCATTATGGTGATACAGACAAATATACATGTTGATGTGTTCTTTTAAAAAATGAATAAATAAAATACTCTGTCCGTGTGAACTCACACGTTGGAGCATTATGTTGGTCCAGACGCATTTGAAGTTTTGTATGGGCTTTGGCTTAGGTGACAAGTGTCAAAAGCAAATAACGCTGTAATTAGTCTTAACAGTCAAAGAAAAGTAGCAGATAGCTTTTTCCCTCTCTTTTAATTCTCTAGTGAGCATTTGAATTTGTTGAAAGATAGACTTATTTCATAGTCAAGGCAAATCAGAGATGATGTTTAAATATAAATCAATTTAATTTACTGGTAGGGTTTTCAGGTACTGTACTTAAAGTGGTAGTAATTCTTTTCTGTAGAAACAAATGATCACAAGCGGAGGCTTGCGGTCTTTTATTACGGGAAATTCTTGGGAGAAATCTACTTTCATGCTTTACATTAACTAGTGCATTCAGGATGAGTTGTGGACACAGATACAGAGAAGGTAAACTTACTGTTAAATACTTAAAATATTTATGAGAACAATTCTGTGTAATAGTATGTATTTTCAGGGTCTAAATTCTTGCTCCAGCTGTATTGAAGAAATTAATTATAAAATGTAAGCGTTTACTTACAATAAATACTCTTTTTTGTCTTAGACAACCTCAGAAAGAGAATGCACTCCAAACTGAGCTAGCAAACCTAACTTTCAAATTAAAAAATAATAATGCAAATGTAACTGGGTTTTTTGGTTTTTTTTTTTTTCCCCCCCCTCAGGCTGCAGTTTGGAAAGAGCTTCTGTTAGCAACTATTGGAGAGCAGTTTACAGATTGTTGTGCAGCAGGTAACTTTTAAAAATGATTGAGGCTAGCATGACAAACACTGAGTTTGAATGCAGAACGTGGAAAAATGGGGGACAGGGCTGGAAATCATACTCATACCTGTTGTCATTAAGAGGAGGACAAGGTATTCTGACTGTTTTAGCACAAGACTCACGCTCAACAGCTTGTACATCCCTGGGAAGCCAGCAGGTTTTCTAGTTATTGAATGACTATCTGTTAGCCAGCATTTAAATGATTAATATTAAATTCTACAATGCCAGAATTCTGGAACCCCAAATGACACCTCCATACTATCACTGTTGGAAGTAACTAAATTGGACAGATGCTCCCATTAGCCCTCATGGTCCCTTCTGGTTCTCCTAACAGGGTTAGGAGTTGTCGGGGAAGCACTAGTGCAGACCTGAAGCAGAGGGAAGCTGCATGGTTTGCCTGTGGTGACATTAAAAGCCCATAGCAGGGCCATAACACAAACCTGGCTCTCCTGAATCCCAGGTTAGGACTCTACCTAGAAGCAGTATTTTAATTATTGCTTAAAAATACTACTTAGGTCAAGGTAATCTTTAATGTAATTGAATTTACATAAATATTCTTAAAATACTTTGCTGGTTTACTGGAAAACAGGCATTAATCATCCAGAAGCTCACGTGATTTTGGTCAGAGGTAATAATTTAATGAAGTCACTTTCAGAATAAATACTTCTCCAGGCTTGCAAGGTTGCATGTTTCATTTGGAAATGGACTCTGGGAAGGAACTGTGAATGCTAGCTGGCTTAAGATAGATCATCAAATGCTGCTTCTTAATCATGAAAAGCAAGTACAAATCTGTGACCATTTAATTCGTTAAGGTTCTGTTACAGAACTGTTTCTTGCTTCTGGGTGAAGCGAATGAGGGAAGGCATTCTGGGAGCTAACTTTTCAGTTCAAATGACACTTCTCCATCATTTCTTTTGACCATATTTACTTCTCTGCTAAGCATGAATATCTGATTAAACTGGCTGATGCAGTGACTGTGAATATCCCATTAGGAGCGTTCCTGCACTGCTCTGTCATTCCAGAGAAAAGAATTGTGTTTCTCGGGTTCACAGAGCAGTTCAGCAAAAACCTTTCAAACAGTTTCTCTTACACCTGTCTAATACGGCAGAGCAGGCGTATTGCAGTAGGCTGCTGCGGGTATATTCACCTTGGTGGCTCTGTTTTTTTCTACAAAAGTTTTGTTGAATGAGTTTCTCAAACAGTGTAATTCTCTCATTGCTTTCCCAGCTTTCAGAATTGGAAGATACAGAATACAAGCCTCAAATCGTTGAGCTGTGAGAGACATTTCTAATAGTTGCTTTTCAAAATCGTTAATTTGCATGATTGAGTTGGTGTCAAGAAGGGAGTGTTCCTGCCCTTTATACTGATAGGGTGCTTTCAGGTCAGTTTAAGCAAATACATGACATTCTGCTGCCTATGGAGGTAGTTTTTCCCCTTTGCCATGTGTTGCTGACACCACCTTAGCATTAGCAGGGGTTACTGACCCCTTCCTTAGGATGCATGGTGCAGCTGCGCCATGGAGGCCACTGCTGGAGGCAGCCACCGCTCCCAGCCGCAGCATGGTCTTAGGCTGAGCTCTCCACGAAGCTACGTGCTGAGAATTTCACACCAAAAAGGGCTTCTTCAGTGAAGCACGGAGTTACCAACACTGGCAGCAGCAGCCTGACTGGGGCTTTATTAATTTTTTTCTTGGGCCGCCCCCCTCCCCCCGTTGCTGCCTTGACAAAATGTAAAGGAAAAAGAGAGCAAAGTCTGGAAAAGCTGGTGCCTGATCTCCTCCAGGTACTGTTCTTGGGGTTGTTTCACCCTCACCTCCCCATTTTTGCTTATAGACATTACTGTAGGTAAATTGCCTCTAGTAGTTTATGTGCTAACCTTACTGAAGGGAGTCTTGTGATTCCCTTCTAATCAAGGATAAGAGTGCTAATAGCAAAGATGAATAATCCTATGGCACTTTATTAAAACCACTATGAGGTAATATTTCCAATAGCTTCTATAAATACAGTGTTTGTTTCTTTCTGGTAACTATTTTGTCTGGTTTGAACATTGGTAATCTCCTCACTAGAGATTGCTCTTTTTCATTTATTCAGTTTGTTCAGCTTTTGGGCACTGTTTCATAATACGTAAGTACCAAATTAGACATGTCTCACTTTTAAAGTATTCTTTAATGATGCTTCCTCTTCTGTGCAGATGATGAAGTAATAGGGGTTAGCGTCAGCGTTCGTGACCGTGAAGATGTTGTGCAAGTCTGGAACGTGAATGCCTCTTCAGCAAGTGAAGCAAAAGTTTTAGAAAAGATACATAAACTTCTGCCACACACATCTTTTAAAGCAGTGTTTTATAAATGTAAGTATTTTGTACTGTTAATTTCCACTTTCATTAGAGAAACAAGATGCTAGTAGGCTATTTCCATGGGAATATCCTACTGATTCATCATTAACCATTTGGAAATGTAGCATCCTCCCATTGCATTAAAATTATTACTTCAAAAATATACATGGTTTTGTCTCTTCAGTGTAATAGTTAGCTACCATTCAAAATAGATATTTTTAGTTTAATTGTAAAATCTATTTGGTTTCATGTTTGATATGCCTGATTCGTAAAATAAGTGAGACAAATCTCTTGATAACTGTCAAGACTGCATGCTGTTCAATTTAAGTATTCATTTAGAGGAACCATTTACACTAGGATTTTAAGGGATCTCTTATTTTAGGCTCTATATAAATGTATTATCAGAATAGCGTATTCCCAGAGATCACTCGTAGGCATGTTGTGTCTTCCTTGACTGCTCATACATTGTCTTCTCTTTTCATCTTTTCAACTCCTCAACAAAGTTTACGTGTCCTTTTCTTCTTTTTTCCTTCTCTTTTCCTTAGCACACAGAGAGCATCATGCTTTTGAAGGCCGACGGGGAAAACATTAAGTGCCAAGCTCATTCGTTGTTATTTGGTATTTTGAGGTGGTCTGGACAAAGAGAAGGATGGTGGAAGCCCTGCAGAAGCACTATGCACAGCGGCCCTTTTGAGTTACTAACACTTCAAACTGGGAAAATGAGGAAGACCTGGTGCCTTGACTGCTAAATGCGCAATTCATTACTTCTGGTTTGGTTGGGGTTTTTTAATTTTTCATTGTTTCTTTAAAAAGATATTTTGGCCACTTGTTTTTTCAATGAGATTATATTTGTTCCTATTTCATTAAGATAGAAGGCTTTCATTTCTTCTGTACTGTACTTAGTTAAATGCAAATGTGCACAGAGATGTATGCTGCTTTTCCTAGATGTGTTGTACATGGAGGAATACTGGCTTGGTGAAATGTGTTTTCAATTTTCATTTTAAAACATTCCTATCATGTTAAGATTTACTCACTGGTTTTGTCCCAAGAGAGAAAGAAACTGCACTGCATTTATTCTAATATTCAGTGTAATCTGGTCTTGCACTGACAACGGCACACAGGCTGTAAAAGTAAAAAGTAAAGTGTTCGCTAAATAAGCGACTAAAGAGAACATTTATATTGGGACTAACCCTCTGTGGGATGATGTTAACGAGTGTTTTAATTGTAGTGATTTCAGAAGAGCCCCTGTTCAGACTAGAATGAGAGATTTTTCAGTAGGAAACCCTGCAAACTCTATGTCTCTCTTATTTAAGAGGGGATGGGTTTTTTTAATGTTTTTATATAGTATGCTTTCTTATGATATTTTTCTGTACATTCATGATAAAGTGTCATGAATCATTTCTAATGCATTAGACTAACTGGATTCCATCCCTCACACTTCTGTGAGTACTTTAAGCCCATGCCTGTGCCGACAAAGGTCAGCATCAGAACTGCTGTTGACTTCAGTGCAAAGGAAGAGATCCCTTCGTGTGTAGTTTCAAGCCATTGTGACTTCCTAAGTGACCTTTTTAAAAAAAAAAAATACAGGAAAGAAATTGATTTTGTGTTGCAGCATGAATATGAATACAAAATGTGTTAATCTTTAATTATTTGTCTATATTAATTATTTGAGGTGTTGGTTTATTTTAATATACTACCAAAGATTACTGTATTCCTTTTACAAGAAGCTGCAAGGTAGAGATGAACGTACGTTCCACTGAGCATTACTTCATTGTTAAGAGGTTTTTGTTTGGCAACTGTTCAGGTTGTACTGATTTCCACATCTTTAGTGTATTAAGAGGCAGCCATTAAAACCAAATAAATTTAAAAATAGAATCGCACATTTGAATTTTTTTTACAACTTCAACTGTATTTATGAATGAAAACTTTGCAGTTAATGAGCATTATTAATTAAACGAATTTTCTAAAATCCAGATGTCTTCTGTAATTGCTTTGAGATTAAATGCTACCGGACCTGCTTTTTTAAACCTGTGTATTTTTCAGTAAAACTTACTGTCTTAGAAGCTATCTATGTTTCGTTCATAGATTAAAAATATTTTTAGATGGATTTTTTTGTTATTAAATCAGAAAGGAGGCCTGAAGTTTATTAGTAGTATCTCTTGTAAATATTCAGTTAATACTTGAGGTATTTTTGAGTTGCAGTTAGATTGAGGTTTCAAAATAAAAAGCATAGAGACTGTTGCCAGTTTAACTATATGATGGTTTTCAGTTCACACTGCAGTGACAGTGTATGAAATACCCCAGCTAGCCTCGCTTAGATTAATTTTTACCACTGTGGGTTTCCAAGATACATCTAATGCTGCAAGGATTTATTTTTATAATATTACTCCCTTTGGATTACCTCTAAATTGTCTGAGATCTGTTTTTAAAAAAAAAAAAAAATTTTTTTATTTATCTACAAACAGTGTTGAAACTCAGTGTAGTTTCTCTTCTAGGGTCCATTGTCACCCATCGACTCCTATGCAGAGATACCCAACCTGTGTGGGAAACAAGGGAATGTAGGAAGGTGCTTTCCCTGCAAGGTGAAGTGAACTCAGTGCTGTGACCCTCATTTCTATCTACAATGAGGGGGGTTCCGCTTTTTCCAGGGACTGGGTAGAGGGAGACCTCAGGACATCAGTCACCCGTGAAGTGGTAGCTGATACTTGCAGGTGGGATGTACACGGACAGCCTCCAGGCCTGCGTGATAGAGTCCAAAATTACTTTGGAGAAGTGAGGGGTAGAAAACTTTTTGAGAAAAATGTTTTCAACAACTTGATAAGCCAGACTTCTCACTTGAAACACTTTATTTTCCTGTCTTTGGAGGAAATGTGACTGGAATACTAATGGGGAATTAATCACATACCTCACCCTTCGCTTACTTTTACTTTTGGAAACAAGCCAGAGCCTCTTACCTCTCCTCCAGGTTCATTTTGTGCATGGATGTTGACTTCAGTAGAGTTGGATCTGCTGGCAAAAGCGGCCGATCTGGTGATGTCACTGGAACTTGCTAATTAAAGATATTACTGTATTCATCCTGTTGAAGGAAATTATTTTTATGTAGTTGCCTTGCATGGCATTTTTATATTAAAGACCTCTCTGCTTGAACATTGGATAGAGGTTGAGAGAGACTTTATCCTAGCCATAGGATAGGATAGCTGCACATTGACCACTGAAGTCCACGTGATGAACTATTGTCAATCTTTCATTCTTCTAAATCCCTGTTTATAAAACCAGAGATTTTTCTGTATGGCTTAATTCTGATGATAATTGTTATTATTACTTAGAATCTGGGTTGATGGGTATCTTCTGACTAAAATTCAGCATATTGTATGCCACAATCCAAAATTGGGCCTGAATCAAAATGGGTAGTGCAAGTTTACAGGAACATGAAAAATTGCATATTGAAAATTTGCAACCATTAATTTCAAGACTTTGTAGAATTTTTGAACTGTCCTTTCGTCGTATTTATACCAAATGATGTTGAACTGTTAATTTTTTAGTCTTTTAAATATTTATTATTTTCACCTGGAGGTCTGCTTTATTGAACTTGATTAAGTGAACCCCCCACTACTTCAAAATCATCTACATTGTTTAAATGGATGTCAAAGAAGAGCCTACAACTTCCTCTCAATATGAATTTCTGCTGGCATTTCAACATAAAATTAAAACATTTAACTTCCATGGTGGGTGACAACAAAGAAACTCCAGATTGCTGCATTAGCTGAACTAAAGAAACCTGCTTCCCTCTTGGGGTGGTCACGAGCCCTGGCTGATACCTGCCCGCACTGGGATAGCACCCTTGGGCTTCATCTGGTGCCTGCTGGTGTGGCAGGTCACACTGAAGCCTTTCACGTAGCTGGAGCGCTTGTCTCCTTTATCCAGGCTGTTCTTATGAATTTTGTAGGAACTTCATATCCTTGATACACCTGTCCAGCCACCCGGGTCTGCCGGGTGCGCAGTTATTGTCGCATGGGGATCATTTTAGCCTCTATCCTGGGAAGCCAGGTGAGATGAGAAGTAGGGGGAGATCTCGGGCTGGCTTCAGAAATGTTCGTAGCACCTTGTAAAAGGTGCTGACAGCATCTTCCTGGGAAAAGCTTTGATGCTGTGTGGTGTTAAGTGGAGGATGGTGGTGAGCTGCCTGAAGGAGAGCTGCTGGCTTCTTACACGGGCACAAGCACGGACCGTGCAGAGGGAGCCTGGGGATCCAGCACAGGGATGCAGCGGGAGCACCAGCCCTGGGGGAAGAGGAGTTACTGGCTGGACTGTGGCTGAAGCAGCTGGGACAAACGGAGCCAGGAGGGACAGCTGAGAAATGGTAAGAGGAACAGCCTTTTACTTCTGAGTATTACACTTCTTGTGCTGGTTTGCACCTTCCCAGGGCTGAAGACAGTCGCTGGCAGCAGGCGGGGGCTGAGCTCTGATCGTTCCCCGCAACTTTGGGGGCATGTCTAATTGCTCTCTGTGGCTCCCCAAGCTGTGAGACAACTGCTGCTGGAAGGATTATTTGGGAATTTCACTTAACAGGGATGAAGGGCTGTCTTCTGGGGCGGCTAATTAACAGGGCTCTATTCTGGTAATTAAATAGCAGTTTGTTGAACACAGCTTAGTTGATGAAATCTTTGGAAAACATAACACTTAGCAGGCAAGGAATGGCAACTTTGCCTCAAAAGCCTATCCTAAAAGTTTTTGGTATGGTTTTAAACTTTCATTCTCCAGCAAAGATGGTATTGATTCTTAATTTATTTGATTTGCTGCTGTCCAATGACAGTTCTCTCTCTGCTGTTGCAGCAGCTGGTTCCTCTAGGGCTTCATCTCAGCTGCAGGGCCTTAAAATGTCCTTCACTTGTTGCTTTTTCAGAAGATTCTGGTGCTGCCTTCTTAAAAGCCAACGCAGGAGGACAGGAGTGTTTGCCATCCAGAGAATAAATCCTTTGCTCTCCTGCTGCAGCGGCGGTGCTGGGGCTGCCGGCTCAGCCGTGCGTGCCGTTGCACAACCCGGCCCTGCCTCCTCTGCGGGGAGGAGGGTTTCCATCACGGTTACTCCACGCACAGCAGCACCTCCCTCCCCTCTGAGTTACATGTGTTGGAAAGATCACACGAAGCACGTGGGGTTTTCTCACCAGGTACTCGCGCCATTCGCATGCACTGAAAAGGGCTGTGGTTGCATATTAAGGCTTCTCTCTCACTTTGTACTGTTGTATTTTTTTTCACTGCCTTTGCAAAGTGGTCCTGGAAATCAGAGACATACCAGGATGAATTATTTTGGTCTATGGCTTATTTGCACCATGGAGATGCGTGTGGAGTTTTGTTTTGGAGAGTAGTGTTGAAAAAGCATGGGGAGAGCAGGAGCGAGCAGAGGAAAAGGTGCTTTTACGTTGTGTGATGTGCCTTAGCCATGCTGCTTGATTGCTGCGGAGGAGCACATCAAAGCGTCTTCGATTTAAAGCCGCTTCACGCTACGGGCTTTGCTCGATCTTCTGCGTGCTTTTATTTTAGTGTGGCAGGTTCAGGACAGGTTGGCACACTCTCCTCGGTAATAATTAACTA